ACCAAGAGTTGGATGCTCACCCCGCTGAGCCACCCAGGTGCCCTGACAAAGAAGTACTTCTAAAGGGGGAGGAAGGCTTGTACTAGCAGCTCCCAAAACAAAATATAGACTATATTAATTAAAACAGTGGGATGTTGGCACAAATCAATCCATTGGACAAAATAGAGTCTGGTACAGCCCCGTGAAGGCATATTGCAAATCAGTGAGAAAACTGTACTAATCATTAAGTGATGTTGGGATGATTAGTTGTCCAACTTAGAAGAAGAAACCCCAAATCACGTAGGATCTGTACCTCTTACCATATCCAAATATGAATTCTAGATGCAATAATGAGCTAAATACACATGCACTCTCTCTCTTTCTCTCTCTCTCTCTCTCTCTCACACACACACACACACACACGCACACAAATAAAAAACTCTGTAAGAAAATGTGGGATAATATTTTCTTTTCAAGTAGATCACAAATCCTAGAAATCATAAAATAGTACCTTGATAGATTTTTTTTTTACTACATAAAAAACTATGTCTTTAAAAGACAAAGCTAAAAGGGAGAAAATATTTGTGGCATATAAATATTTGTACTATGTCAAACGTATAATGGAGAAATATGTAAAATATATCAAGATCTTTTTAAACCAATAAGAAAGACAAACAACCCAACAAGAAAATGGGCTAAGGAAAGGAACAGGTATTCAGAGATGAAAAAATAAAAGACAAATAAAACATACAGAAACATAGTCAACCTTTAGTAGCAATAGGGTAAATACAAATAAAACAACAAGAAACCAATTTTCACCCATCAAGTTGAAAAAAATCTTTTAAAATTGATGACATATGTGTTGATTAGGTTGTGGAAACAGTCATTTTCATACCCTGTTAGTATGAGTGTGACCTGGCATAGCTTTTCTTGGATGGCAGTTTGATAGAATCTACTGACATGAGAAATGCATACTTTCTACTTCTAGATGTGGCTCCTAGAGAAATCTTTCTACGTGTGCAAAGATTTTCAGTACATTTGTTTGAAATAATGCAAAGTCAGAAACAACTAGAAGATCCATCGGTCATGGAATGCAGGCAGGTTAGGGGTCTGAGGACCAGGGTAAAAGTCTGGACTCGCCTACGAGGGCAGCAGGAAAGGGAGCCAACCCAGGACAAGAAAAAGGATCGCCGGGTAGCATCAAGAGGCCTGCTGACATGGAGCACCACGAATCTGGAGTGACTCCAACCCACAGAGGTGTGATATTTTCTCCTATGAAGAAGACAGATAGTTCAAACGCCCTGGGGTTTATTCGTTCATTCAACAAATACTTCAAGTGCCTACTAAGAGCCAGGCAGTATTTCTAGGCTCTGGGATACAGCAGTGAACAAAATAAACAGTCCCTACTTTCATGGAGCTTGCATACTAGTGAGAGAGAAATAGGCAAACAGATAATAATATATTGTCAGGTAAATGCTCTGAAGGTAAATAAAGCAGCATAAGAAGATAAAGAATGACAGAGGCACTGTTCAAATAAGATCAGGGAAGGTCTTTCTGTGGAGGTAACATTTGAATAGAGGTCTGAAGGAAGCAAAGTGAGCCATGTTGATATCTGGAAAAAGAGCATTCCTATTAGTGGGAACAGTGTGTGCAAAGGCCTTGGGGTAGGAGTGTGGTTTACTTGAAGATGGAGATTGGCAGGATGGATGTAGTGGAAGGACAGAGGTACAGAAAAGTTAAATGTGCTAATTAAAGGGAAGTTGGAGTGATGGATTATGTTACCTGGACCAAATAGGGAGGGAAGTGAGATTGGGGATGCTGATAAATGGATAGGAAGAACATAAGGTAAGTGACAGGAAATTTTGGTGAGGTAAAAAAAGCAGGTATGATAGGAGTAAGGGAGAGAGGACTATTGACAGAAGGATAAGAGAATGTGGCCAGAGAATGGGAAGCTGGAGTTCACTATATCAGGGAACGGCAATCCCAAGCAATGACAAGGCCCAAGATGCTCCTTTTGGTGTGGGAGGTTGAGGAGAAGTGGAGGAGAAAGGCTTTCAATTGAGGGGCTTGAACTTGAAGAACCAAGACATCAGGTAGATTGTTGAAAGGAAACTTGATGTCACGCAGGGTAACAGCAGACGTGAGGGGAAGAGGCAGCTGTGAGCCACGGTCCTCTCCACAACTGGGGAAGTGTTGGGAGGCAGATGGTGGGATCTGTGACAAAGGCAGTAAGAAGACTAACAGGGAAATTCAACCTAGCAAGGGGGTCAGGGCAAGCTTCCCAGATGAAGTGACACTTGAGGTGAGACTTGAAGGAGGAGGAGTTCACAGGGCAAGAGAGGAAGTAAGGGCATTCCAGGTGGAGAAAAAAAGAACAAGCAAAGTCCCTGTGGCTAGATGGGGCATGACGAATATTCGAGACTGACGGAAGGGCAGTGTGGTTGGCATGGGCACAGTGAGGAGAGAGGCATAAGCTGACAGAGAAGTAAAAAGGGATCAGGCTACCAAAGACAGATGGTTGGGAGAGTGCCCAAGGACCACCAAATAGAGGCTTACGTGGAACTGACTGGAACCTTGGTGAGCCACGGTGGTACTCTAACCACATAGGTGCTGAGAAGATGAGGGGGCAGCATAGGTTTGCACCATGACTTGCTGAGCTTAGCACTCAGCCAGGGCTCACGATCTGACTCAGTCTGTGCCCACAGAACCAAACCAATCTAACTGGCTCACAAGGGGCTCCAGCCAGGCGCACTTTGCCTTGCTAACAAAGTTCCTGGACCATAACTACCACCTTATTCCATGAGGAGAAGGAGCCTCCTGCTGGAAGGGAGCTGCCCACTGCATCCTCTAATCACAGCAAAGGGAAGCCCAACCCTCATTCTGAGGGGATAAACCCCCTTCCTGCTGCCTGGCCGGCTGGGGGGTGAGGTTCTGGGTCTCATCACGGCAAAGACCAGCTTCTATGAAACTGACTCATGCCTCCATCCCCTGTGACCACCCCTATATTTATACACATGCGCGCACACACACCCTCCCCGGGGCACAGTCCAGAAGATGGGGGAGGGGTGCCTGCTTGGTTTATTTGCTTCCAGGGCTGACACTTCAAGCCAGCTGATCTTTGCTATATTAACTGCCATTTCAGCAGTGCTGGATGTCAGGGGCAGAGAGGTCAAGGTACAGACGACACCGGTTTTTGTTGTAGTTACATATTTGACTTCACCCACCCTCATACCGCATTGACTCTTTATGGCAAGCATGTTCTGAGAGCTTCACAAACATGAACTAATTTAGTCCTCATCATCTTGCTAAGAGATTAGTCCTAGGGACGCCTGGGTGGCTCAGTTGGTTAAGCGACTGCCTTCAGCTCAGGTCATGATCCTGGGGTCCTGGAATCGAGCTCCGCATCGGGCTCCCTCTGCCCTGCAGGGAGCCTGCTTCTCCCTCTCCCTCTGCCTGCCACTCCCCCCGGCTTGTGCTCTCTCTATCTGTCAAATAAATAAAGTCTTAAAAAAAAAAAAAGAGGGTGCCTGGGTGGCTCAGTCGTTAAGCGTCTGCCTTCGGCTCAGGTCATGATCCCAGGGTCCTGGGATCGAGTCCCGCATCGGGCTCCCTGGGCTTCTCCCTCTGCCTCTCTCTCTCTCTCTCTCTCTCTCTCTCTCTCTCTCTCTCTGTCTCTTATGAATAAATAAATAAAATCTTTAAAAAAATTTAAAAAGAGAACTTAGTCCTAGTATTACCGCATTTCACAGGTGAGGAAACTGTGGGCTCAAAGAAGCGAAGTCACTTGCCCGAGACCATGAAGCCAGTGGGTGACAGAGCTGGGTACTGAAACCCCCGGCAGTCTGGCTCCACTGGGGAAGGCGGGGCTGTCTGACCTAAAAGGCTGTCTTCGGGGTCCCTCCTCGGCATGGCCCCGTCAAGTCCACCTGCTTGCCCTTCAGGATGGCTATCACAGTGTACAAGGGGCTATAGGGCCTCCGGGGGGACATTTCCCCCGTCCTCTGGTCTCTGGGAATCATGTTGTTCCCAGTCCTGGAATGGGGCTGAGGGGGACGGGGAAAAGACAGCGGGAGGGTCAGCGGTCCCAGAGCCACACAGGGTTCTCACAGTCGTCATCCCTGGCCTATCCTCTGAGGCTGTGCCCTCTGCCTTTACTCCTGGAGGTGGAGTTCACTGAAGCTCCTCACTCATTTCAATTCCCCTCCTTCAGGGAGTCCCATGAAGACCCCCTTCCCCTCTTCCAAATGGGTCTTTTTTATTGTATTCGGATGGATTACTTGAAAGCCACCTTAAACTTAAACTTGTGGATGGAAGCAGAGTGTAAATACATTAAAAATAAAATCAAAAGTTTGCCTCTGGGTCCCCTCACTGGGACCTTACCAATGGCTAGTAGGTATGTACCTGTCCATTGGGTCTGTTTGGCTCTCGGAAGTATTGCTTTCTGGCCGAGCGTTCTAGAGGGCATTTACTGGGAGCTGCCTATAGGCGCTGGTGCAGTGAGCTGCCCACTGGTGCCTTGGGTGTGGAGACAAGGCTGGCCCCGTATTCCCCACTTCCCCTGTAGGGACTCACGCTGGTTAGGAGTGATCCATACTTCAGGGGAACCAAAGCCTTGTTCTAGAAGCTGTGGCAGAAAGGACATGTCCAGTTCACCAAATGTGTCTTCTGGGAGCCCCCAAACTCCCCTGTTTGAGTCTTTTTCCCTCGTCAGTGGCATGCCCTCATCCCTCCAAATGGGGCCTTCATTTCCTCCCACGTAGGAATGGCCCCAATGGCTGAGGAGTGGGTGGGCCCCCCCCCCCCCCCCCCCCCCCCCCGCCCCCGGGGAGAAGGGCGTGCTTCCTCGGCCAGTGGCTGGCAGCACTTTTACAGAGTGGGCTCTCCTAAGGGGACTCACCCCAGCTGAAGAAAGTAGCTCTCCAGCTGTAACCAGCTTCCCCGAGGCGTGCAGTGGGGCTTCCCAAACACTAGGGAGAGAGGACACTGGCTTTTTCTGAGACGGGCCAGCTCAGAGGAGGAGGAAGGATAAACATTCCTCTCGGAGCCAGAGCCTGGGGTGGGGGAGCTAATGGGAAACAGCTTGCTGGAAGGAGGGGGACAGAATTCAGGAATGACGGGGGCGGGCTGCTGAAGAGGGGGCAGGGGGGAGGAGCAGGCTGATGGAGACCAGCGGCTGCTCTTCTGCCCTGGGGATCTTTGGACTCCGCACGGGGCGGGCTCGGAGAGCGCGAGCTTCCCCACCCACCCGGACTCCCGAGGCCCGACTCCCTGGAGTCCTCAGATACAGGAGACCAGAGTGGGACTCTCCATCCCCTGGCCGGACGCCTCCTCCCCATCGCCAGCCCCAGCCCCCTGGCTGCTCCTGTCCTGGGAAGGCCTGGAGGAAGAGGCCAGGGAAACAGCCCTGCCCCTTCCCCCCCATCCCTCCATCCACCCAGCACCAGCATCTGGAGACCCCATGGCCTGGGCTCGCTGGGGCTGCTGCCCCTGGCTTGTCCTCCTCTGTGGTATGTGCATCCTGGTCCCTCCCTCCCACGCCGGGAGGGCAGGTCCAGCTGGAGAGCAGCTCTGGCCTCTCCCCTCTGGGCTCAGAAAGGGTTGGAGGAAGGGCTGGGGCCCAGGTTGTCTCTTTCTCTCTTGGTCCTCCTCTCTGTCTTGAGAAAGAGGAGCCCCGGGGCCAGTCCTTGGGGTCCTCCAGACTCAGGTCAAGTCGGGCTTGGCACCTTTCCATTCCCACCTGTTAAAGAAAAGATGGTTCTGGCACTTGTTAAGAGTAAGGAAGACTTTATTCAGAACTATTGCAATAAGGGCACTGCAATAGGGGAGAAAGATCGGGCTCAACTCTGAACACAGCAAAGATGGCTGAGGACTTACAGCCAACGAACAGAGGGAGGGGGACAGTGAATGGAAAATTACTTACTAAGAGGAGACATCAGGGGTGGGGGGGGTTCTCGCTAAGTCAACTTAATAGGATTCTTGCTGGAGGCAGGCCAGGGTGAAGAGATACAAAGGGTGAAGGATGAGGAATTTGATCAGATAGCAAAGGTGATCAGATATTAAGGGTGGGGGATTGTCTCCAAACTGGCTTAGCAAGATTCTTATTGAGGACTGGGTGAAGCAGGCCCAGCAAGGACAAGATGGACATGGACCAAGTCAAATCCAAGTAAAGAGGCTCCAAGGCAACTAAACTAAACTAGTTAGGCAACTAACGTTCGGTCTTTGTCACTCCTCTGGTGCCCTGTTTTCCTCTTTGGTCACAACGAGATGCCCAGCTCAGTGCCCTCCACACCCACGCCACCCCCAGCCTCAGGGAGGCCTCCCTTCCCTTCCCACTCCGTCAGCAGGACCCGGCTCAGTCAGTCAGCACCCAATTCCTGAGCACCTCCCCAGTGCCAGGCCCTGTGTCAGGGAGCACAGAGAGATTCAGCTGCACAGCCTGCCCTTGGGAGCCCCAGCGCCGGCCTCAGAGAACAGCAATCTGGGTGTCCCGAGGGACACAGGTTGACGGAATCTTGCTTCTCGTGTTGGCATCTCAGCATCACCATTTTGCCAACGATCTCTTCCTACAGAAACGGGATCATTTTCTTAGATCAACAGTATGGGATCTCATCTCCCCGCTGAGTTTATGAGACCAAGACAGCCGGGCAGGGTATTTATGGTGTTAGATGCCAGCCACCCTCCTATCCGTAGCTCAACCCACTCAGAAAGTAAAAGTACAGTGTCTCCCCATACCCAGGCCCCCATTACGCTCTGAGGAGATCCGGGGGCTGGAGGGAAGGACTAGCAGAGACCACAGGACTTTCGGGGCTGGAAGGCCCCGAGCCTGTAGGACTTAGCCCAGTGTCTGACACACAGTAGGTACGCAGGAAATGTTTGCCAGTGAATACTGGGTGACTCTCCTTGGATCACACCGAATTTGGGGCAGAGCCCAAATTGGAAACTAAGTCTTCATATACTCTGTCCTTTCCATGGAAGGGTTGACTTTTTGTACTCAGATGACTGGGGTTCGAATCCCGGCTTTACCACTGACTCACTGCGGTAAAACTTGGACGAGTTACCAAACCTATCTGAGCTTTAGCCTCCTCCTCTATAGAAAACAGACGGTAATACCCACCTCATGGGCTTGTTGCAAGTATAGAATAAGATACTATAGATAAATTACTGAGCTCTGGCACATAGTAAAAGATCTTTAAATGCTAACCTACCTTTCTCCACCAGGCGACGGTGTCAGACTGGGATCAACTGTTTTATGTATTTAAAATGGGCCTGGAATGAGAGCCAGAGATTTGGATTGTAATAAATGGCACAAGTGGGCCTTGAATTTAAGTAAACCCAATATATATAAAATTAGATTTATAGAAGGGTAAAATGAAGGTGGGGTGATTATTTAGCAAGATCCTCTAGAGCATTTCAAAGAAAATGTGATTACAACAATTTAATTTACACACAACAGTTCGGTAAACCCCGAAAAGACCCGATTAGATTAGAAGGGAAAAATTGATTTAATGAGCACTAAAACCCCTGCAAAAGTGGCAATCACTTGTCGATGAAACAGGTTTCTTTGATTGTGACCCAGGGTGCCAACCCATTCCGCCTAATTTCCTATGAAATGTGATTATTTTTATCCTCGAGTTGGACAGCACTGCTTGTTTAAAAGGATGGAGACCCGGTGGGGACGGGGAGTGCGCTTTAGGAGACCAAGTCCATGTGCTCTCTAGAAGCTAACCGGTCTCCAAGTGACCCTGAATTTTTTCCCCCGGTTTCTAGCTTTGGGTGCCTGGGGCCACCCAAAACAAGTTGACCTGAGAGGAGAGGATGTGAGAAACTGTTCCCTCAGCCCTCCGGTAAGGCCCCGCCCCGGCCCCGCCCCGGCCCCGCCCCTCAGCTCCCATCTCCTCCCATCCCCCATAGGCTCAGTTGCAGGCCTTTCCCTCTACCAGCCTTTCTCCTCACTTCCGGACTCTGGGGCCCCTGTTTCTGATTAACATCCCTCAGGGCGAGCAGCACATTCTCAGGTGTCTGACATCCCCCATTCCACCCTCCTGCCCACCCACCTCTCCCACAGCAGGATATCTACTTCCGTCCTGGCCTGGGCCGCCCCACTGTGGCGGGGGGGGGGGGGGGGGGCGGGAAGGAGGGTGGAGGGTGGAGGCCCCTAGCTAGCCTTCCGCGGAGGCTAGGCAGAGGCAAGCAGGAGGATGGGAGGAAAGAAAACAAAAGTTCTAAAGGAACAGCGCAGAGGGCGGCACAGAAGGGAGGAGGGAGGAAGACAGAACTAGAAAAGCCGGCGGAAAGGAGGAGAGCGAGGCCTAGGGTGTGACTGGGGAGAAGGCCAGGCATATTGGAGCTGAAAGGTCAGCAGCTTCCTACCTGGAGATCAGAAGATTCTTTCCATAACCAGATTAGGGCGAAAGAGCTTCCTCGGGCCGGGGCAGGCCGGAGGTGAAAGCTGGTGGGCTGCCAGCAGTCCCCTAAGCCTCAGGCCCAATGGGGTACATCTGCTTGCAGCGTCAACTTTATGAGACCACTGGGGCAGGCAGGTGGGTAGGTTTTTATATAAAAACAAACATGGCTATGTCATTGAGCAGAAGGTAAAACAAAAAAACCCACACTTTTTAAAAAATTTTTTAAATTATTTTTTAAAAAATTTAAACATTTTTAAAAATGGAAAAAATTAAAATAAAATTTTTTTTAAAATAAATTTTAAAAAATAATTTTTTAATTTTTTTAAAAGATTTTATTTCTTTATTTGACAGAGAGACACAGCGAGAGAGGGAACACAAGCAGGGGGAGTGGGAGAGGGAGAAGCAGTCTTCCCGCAGAGCAGGGAGCCCGAAGTGGGACTCGATCCCAGGACCCTGGGATCATGACCTGAGCCGAAGGCAGACGCTGAAGGACTGAGCCACCCAGGCGCCCCACACATTTTTCATTTTAAAGATAAACCAGCCTTTAAAGAAATGTCTGGCTTAGAGGGGGATCTTTCTGGATAATGTCCCAAACTGCTGGGGGTACTCATTCACTCCCCTCTGCCATTTGGGACCAGTGAGTGGAAACTCGAAAAAGTCCCCAACGTAGGATTACCAGATGAAATACAGGACGCCCACTTACATCTGAATTTCAAATAATGAATATGTGTTTTAGTTTAAGTATGCCCCAAATAGCACATGGGACATACTTATTCTAAAACATTGTATGTTGCTTATCTGAAATTCAAATGTGACTGGATGGATATCCTGTATTTTGATTTGCCAGATTGGCACCTCTGCCTCCAAGGTATCCCGAGAAAGACCGTCCCTCTAGCGGGGCCCAGTGCCAGGGCTCGGCTTCCCACAGTTCTCAGCCATGCCCCCCACCCCAGACTCAGGTCCCATTTTTGTCACAAGGAGTTCCTCTCCAAGTTCTTCAACACCTCCATCTCCGGCTCAGCCCAGGCCCCTTAATCTAGACTAACCCGTAACATCAGCTGCCGCCCCGTTCCTCTCCAGGCTGGCCCAGCCTACCTACCCCCAACACCTGCCTAAGGAGAAGGTGGCAGCCCCTCCGCACGCTGGGGCCCGGGCATGATTCTCTCTAAGCAGTGTGTGTCTGTGTGTGTGTCTTTGTGTCTTCCTGTCACCTGTCAGTACCTTCCAGTTACTGCGGTCAATACCACGGCACAGCTCACAGCCCTCCGCCAGCAGATGCGCATCCAGAATCTTTCTGCCTACATCATCCCCGAAACAGATGCCCACATGGTGAGGGACAGCTCCTCCCGCACCCTTGCCCTCTGCTATCCTGGGTCGACCACCAATGAGAACAGGTCACAAACCAGAGGCCATCAAGTCTCAGAAGATGAAGGCAGAGAAAGGATTCAAAAGGCGAAGGGAAGGAAGGAGGGGTCTTGGACATGGGAGTTTTAAGGCAGCTGAGAGAATGTATTCCTTTACACAGGAGAGAAGACACTGCCAAATCTCCTTGACTTCGGGCAGTGAAACTGCCAACAAGTTCAGAATCGATTTTGATCAATTCTTAGATGGCAGATCCAGAATGAATGTTTAGGGTACTCTGGCCCTAGGAGGTTAGAGTGTGGGCTAGGAATTGGACTGGAGGAATTCTAACCTTCCCATAACCTGATGGATGGAGCATTGGAATGATCCAGAGGCCCGGACTACAAGAGTTTGAGGTGTAGGTTGGGGGAGGGGAGCAGACAGGAAACAAGATTGTCTGAGTAAGAACTGCCTTCCCCCAAGCAGCGCCCCTGCGCACCCAACCCATCCTTTCCCCACCACTGGTCCCACCTCCATCCCATCCACCTTCCCAGTACTAGCCTGTTTGGAAGAGAAGGCATTGTCAGTTTCCTCTTCGGCCTGGAAATATTGAGATCTCTCTTGAAGGATGATGATCAAAATACAATAATGTGTGAAGCCCTCTGCAGAAGTTCTTGATGATGTACCCAGTGTTCTGTACTGGGGAGGGGCGGGACAGCTGGAGGGGAGAACCCAGAAGAACCAGAAGACATGATCTCAGACTGCGCAGAATTTGCATTCTGGCCAGGGAGATGAGATTCTTTGGCTGTTCTGCCCAGTGCTGGACTATGGGATTTAGACTCCGAGAAATACAGCTGTCCAAAGGAAGGGGGAGATCTGAGGTCTGGAGGAGTGACAGAGGACTTCCTGGAAGAGGTGCCCAGCGTGCCTGGGCTTGGATTCGACCAGACAGAAAGAACTGGGATGTGGTTGGGGGAGTCTTCCATGGGGTGTGTGTGGGGGGGTCTAACACCATGGAAACAGCTAACGATGGTGTTATTGATTTCCTAGAGTGAGTACATCGGCAATCGCGACAAGAGGCGTGCGTGGATTACGGGCTTTACAGGGTCTGCAGGTGAGAGCCATTACCCAGCCCTTCTTCCTTCTGTTGGTAGACCCAGACGTGGTCACAGAGGCTCTGATACGGCCAGTTCTCAGAAGCCAGGACGCCAGGACCTAGTGTCCAGAGGCTCTGCCTGCCCTCCACCACTCTGAAAAGGGTTGCCAGGGCACACATCATAGCCCACCAGTCACACTTCTGCACAAGGCAGACGGCCCTCCCAGCTTTGTTCCTGCACTTACTGTCCCTGCAGCAGCCAGGCCTAGCTTAGCGCACCCTGGGTGCCATTTCTGGAACAGATGCTATGTCCACATCCAGCCACTAGGGGCCCACTGATTCCTTCACACGTGGCTCACTTGGGGACACCTCACGTAGCCAAATGAGACGCAAACACAGAGGCCCCTTATGGGGTCCCAGTTTCTGAAGGGTCCTTCCAGCCTGATCCCAGCCCCTTGAATGAAATCCAAGCTTCCCTTGCTGATCCTTAAACATTCTTCCCCTGGGCTTCACGCTCCCTTGCCTTACCCATCCTTGCCAAAATCCCTGGCTCCTCTGCCTGTCTTTGGCTCCTCTGCCTGTCTTGAGCTAAGCCCCTGGTTTAGTGGCCCTATCAGCCACTGAGTCTTGATGTTAGCTACCACACCATCTTTCCTGAGAGCACCTACCTGCAGCATTGACTCTTTGGGACTGCCAGAAGTGGACCCCACTCTTCCCTCCTTAGGAGAGGCCCTCAACACAAAGCAGAGATGCCCAGGCTGGCTTCCCCCAGGGTTCCCCTTAATGTCTCCTGCCTCACTTCTTTGCAACGGAGGAGAGAAGTTCTTTCCAGAGGCCCCTTGTGACATTCTCAGAGCCAGCCCCGTATTGCCCATGCATTACTACCTTCCTCACCTTCATCCTCACCTCCAAGTTTCTCTGTTCTGCCCCAGGAACTGCAGTGGTGACCATGGGGAAGGCAGGTCTCTGGACCGACAGTCGTTACTGGACCCAGGCTGAGCGGCAGATGGACTGCAACTGGGAGCTACATAAAGAAGGTAAAAGGGTCGCATGTCCCCCAAACTCTGAAACCTGGACTAGGTTCAAGAAGGCACAGGTAAGGGGATGCATGCAAAGCCATGATGGGCTTCTATGGGAGACTCTGGAAATCTGAAGCCATCCCTAATCTTTGAGGCTAACCTCAAGGAGGACAGATATGGTAGGACTGTCATAGACAGAAATCTGACTGGAAGGCCTGGGGCTGGCTCTGGAGGTGACTCTACGTTCTTTCCTGTCTTCCTCTCAGTTGACATAACTTCCATCACCACCTGGCTCCTCACTGAGGTTCCTGCCGGAGGGAGTGTGGGCTTCGACCCCTTTCTCTTCTCCATTGGTATGTTCTTCCCTCATTCCTGCATTTGTCCACACCAACAAGGGTGACTCAGCCCCTCTGGGATGTAAAGAAGCATACCTTGGTAGAAGGAGGGACAGGTTGACTCTAAAGATAGAGTGTCTGAAGTTGTAGTTGCCGAATATTTTGCAACAAAAATTTATTCATGGATTGTGAAATGAAAATACATTTAAAAGAATGAATGCAGATTTTTTTTTTTTTAAGTCATGAGTACAGAGACCCAACCTAGAAGACTTGGGGAATCGTTAAGATCTAGCAGACAATAGGCCAGGATGTTCTTGAGCCCAGAACCACCCTCTGTACTCTGGAGCTCTACCAATTATGGCACTGGAATCATTTGGGAGCCCTCTTCTGGAAGGCAGCTTGGAAGGCCAAAGGAGTTCAGTGGGTTTCTGAGCAAAGGAGCATGATCCCCTCCCCACTCTAGGAATATAGCTCCCTGAGCTCTGAGGTCCCAGCCAGATGGCCAGCCTGCCCCCACGGGTGGAGTCTTCATGAATATGTACCTAAAGGCTCCCCCTTCAGAACTGGCTTATTTGCCAGCCTTTCTGATGACGTGAACATCACCATTCCTTTGGGCCGTGGCATGGATGCTCAGTTAAAATGGATAGTCCTGAGAAGAGGGCCGAACGGCCATTGGCACTTGAAAAGATAAGCCTAGCCAGTTGGCTGTGGGCAGTGTTGGGGTGGGCCCCAGGCAGTGAGAGGTGGCTGGGAGGTCACACCCCAGGAGGACCAGCCTGCTTGGGCCTGCTCTAGGCTGCTGAGGTGGCAGGAGTGGAGTGGGAGGCAGAGCAGACAAGGACTAATTTTGCCAGAGTCACAGTTTTTCCTGAGGTGTAAACAGGCAGGGGACGAGTGACGGCTTCCTGTCTCTGCAGGTTCCTGGGAGAGTTATGACATGGCCCTCAAAAACTCTAACATACAACTGGTGTCCATCACAGCCAACCTTGTGGACCTGGCGTGGGGGTCAGAGAAGCCTCTGGTTCCAAGCCAGCCCATTTATGCCCTGCAGGACGCATTCACAGGTGCTTGCCTAAGCTCCTTCCTCCCAGCTTGAAGCAACATGGGTCCTCACTGCTGCTCCTTGGCTGAAAATGTTGTCCTGGGAATTACCCAAGCAGTGGCTCTCCAACCTTCCTGTGCACCCGAATTGCCTGGGATGCTTATTTAAAAAGCAGACATCTGGGCCCGCTCATCTCAAAGAGTCTGAATCGAAAGGTCCTCAGACCATATTTAGAAAATGCAAGGAAGGGAAGAAACAAGGGAGTCGGAGCAAGATTAAAAAAAAAAAAAACAAAAAAACAAAAACCCTATCCCTTTGAAGAGAAAAAATAAAAAAACATGGTACGAGTTGCTTCTCTGGTAGTGGAGACCGGTTTCTATTGATTCATTCAAACCTTGACTTCCGGCCCTCCTGTAGTAAGATGATTAGGGGTCAGGTGGGCCGGCTGACAAAGGAAGTATACAACTAAGCTCAGGGTCAATCCATGGCACAAATTAGGGTTCAGGTTTTAGCCAGACCACAAAGGAAAGTTAACTGACCCCCCCCCAAATTCTAACATCGATAATCTTCATCTTGACGTCGTTGATACCATCTAAATACGTCATAAAAGAACAGCATGCTCTATGATTCTGGTAAGTAGTAACTAAAATCCTGACCAGGACCAGGCTCCTGATGATGAATCACCATCCTGGCCACCACCACCCCCTACCTCCCCAGGAATTCTGAAAGAGCCAACGGACGTGGATTCCTAGGAGTATTGGGCAATCCGAGGGCCCCTTTCTGCACGCAAGCCCGTGCACATTTCTTGTTTGAAAAGGAGTCCAGAAAGCAGGAGGGAAATTTCAAAAAAGCAAGGATGATGAAACATGCTAAAATTGTGCCCAATTTTCTTTATCCGTTCTGATAGAACTTGCAGAATCATTCTGCATCTTGAAAAAGTTTTTAAAGAAACTTGCTATCCAAGACTGTGTAATCATAAATAAAACTCATCCCTTTCAGATAACGAAGGGTGAAGTTATGTCGGAAAGAGGAGGGGATAGAGGGGGGAAGCCTTCCAGGGACTGAGGGAGAATTCATATGGGATTTGTCACTGCCCACAAGTGATGGAATGCTGAGCCTTCATAGGCTGCTAGTCTTCAAGGAAAAGCCATCCAGAGCCGGAATTGGGCCTGGAAGCCCAAGTATAAGAGTTCTTGAGTCTATAAGCTTACGGAGACAGGCCAGACTTTCTCTCCAGCAACTGATAGGCTTTAAAGGGGGCAAAGGGCAAAGAGACTGTGAAAAGTTAATTATTCAGAGATACCTGTATGCATCAGGCAATTTAAATGAGCTTTCGTTTGTTGTCGCAGATTCATGAAACTTGATAACAGGATTCTAAGCAAAAGAATCCAGAGAAGCCCCCATAGCGTATGATTCCATTTGTATGAAATATCCAGTAGAGGCAAATCTGTAGAGACGGAAAGCTGATGAGTGGTTTCCAGGGGCTGAACGGGGAGGGGAATGGGGAGTGACTGCTTCTGGCTACAAGGTTTCCTTTCTGGATGATAAAAATGTTCTGGAATTAGATAGTGATGGTGGTTGCACAATCGTGTGAATGTTCTTAAAGCCACTGAATGAATTTTAGCCACTTTAAAATGGCTAAAATGATAAAATTTTACGGTATGTGTATTTTACCACAATAAAATAAAATAATCCTTAAAAGGTATCATACCCAAAGCTCCGGCTCTGGTTGAGTAGTTTTTACCTGTTTGCTTAAAGCTTTTTTAAATGGCGTTAACTTACTTATGCCTGATCTCTGAGCCCAACTGGGACCCTTAATGTTTATGACCTTCTGCCAGCAAATTCTGAGCCCTGCCTAGGGGCAGACTCTTCATCTGCAATGCAGAGAATAGGAATAAAAGATGAAAACTAGAACCAGGGTACAAGCATCCTAGAAAGGGCAGTTCTGTGACACAGAGTTTCAGGACAAGTCTGGGGACTGACTGTGTTAGCAAGAGAGTCCAGAGTCCATACAGACTAAGAGGGTGGGCCATGTAGTCAAACAGACGCGTGTGGAAATCTCAGCTCTACCCCTTGCTAGCTAGGAAAACCTAGACGAGTCACTTTTCCTTCCCAAAGTCTTAATATCTATAAAATGGGTCAAAGAGGGATTAAAACAATGTTCAAGGACCCGTGGCTAATTAGGCACCAGGTTATTTCAGAAAAGAGGCTTGAACATGACCTAGCCTGATCCCTTCACCCTTCAACTAAGGCTGCTCTCTTGACCTCTGTTCTGCATGCTTATTTATTGATCAGAAATTTACACCGGGCTTACCATACACCAAGACACTGTTCTGTGTGCATTACAAATATTAATTCATTTGATCCCCATAACAACCCTATTGACTAGATACTATCATATGACGATCTATCCTCATTTTACAGGCATGCAAAATAAGACACAGAGAGGTTAAGTAATTTGTCCAAGGTCGCACAGCTAGTAATGGCAGGGCCAGAACTGGAACGCAGACAGTCGGTCCAGAGAGTCCATGTCCTTAACAGCTACACAAGTGAGAGTTTGTTGGGAGGAATGTTTCTGTTGCTTTGAAAGACATGGAAAATGGTTGCCCTAAGGAAGCCCTCTCAGGAACAGCGTGCCAAAGGGAAAGCACGTCGCTTATGCTTTCTTTGGGCTCCTTTGCTTCTAGGGAGCCCCTGGCAGGAGAAGGTAGCTGGCATCCGCAGCCAGATGCAGAAGCATCGCAAGGGCCCAACTGCTGTCCTTCTGTCGGCACTCGATGAGACGGCCTGTGAGTATGGACTTGTGGACACGGGGTGGGCACCTGGGTACCCCCAACCCCCATGCCTCCTGGGCCCTGCAGCCCAGGACTCCGCCCCCAGTCACCATATACCCAGGCTTCACTCCGTGGCCATGGCCTGTGGGAACTCAGAAAGCTAGGGGACAGGAGATCACGTCTGCTGAATAAGAAAACCAGGTGGCCCGGAGCAAGCTGGAGCCAGCCCACAGGCCGTCAGAGCAATGGGCTGACCACAGCGGCAAAAGCTGTCTCATGAAGGGGAAGGGGCCCAGCTGACACCTGCCATCAGCCTGGCCACCAGCCCGGGGCATTCATACCCCCAGCTTTAGCACCCATTGCCGCCTGATTCTGTCCCAGTGTGGCTCAGGGCTTCTTACCTGACCCCAGCTCTGGGCTTCAGATTTGCTGGGAACCCACTGAAACTACGCTGACTGCTGGCTGGGTATCTTCGTTTTTCTGGGAGGAAGAGTCTGTAAACTCTCATCAGCGCCTCAAAGACCTCCCCCCCCCCCAAAAAATACCTGAGAAACATTCAGAGGCAGATGTGCAGGCTTACTGCTGGGAATCTTTGGGGGGCCAGAGCAAACGGTGGGGCAAAGGTGGGACATGGACTTGCCTCGGGTAGATCAGCCTCAAAACGTGCCCATCAATTCTCTTCCCCAGGGCTCTTCAACCTCCGCGGCAGTGACATCCCTTATAACCCCTTCTTCTATTCCTACACACTGCTCACGGACTCCTCTATCAGGTACGGCTTTTCCTCGGCTTGCTCTCCAGGACTTCCCCCAACTTCCGTCCCTCATCTGCCCCACCACTTACCCTGCCCTAACATGCAGCCCTCCCAGGAGCCTGCCGGCCTGCCGCCTGCCCCCAAGCAGGGAAGCTTCCTGTCGGCTTTTCCTGACCCCTTGACACTCTGTTCCCACCCACTCCAAATCTGGTCTGCTTGGCTCCTTGGGGGGGTTCCTCTGACCTCCAGGAACGAAGGGATCCTTGTCCTTTGCGCTGTCCTGAGAGACCCTCAGGACCCCCTCCTGGTCTTCCCTCCCCACCCAGGTTATTTGTAAACAAGAGTTGCCTTGACTCTGAGACCCGGAAGTACCTGAACTCCAGCTGCACGGGCTCCATGTGTGTGCAACTCGAAGATTACAGCCAGGTCCGTGGCAATGTCCAGACCTACGCCTCTGGAGACGTGAAGATCTGGATTGGGACCAGCTATACTACATACGGGCTCTACGAAGTGATACCTACGGTAGGTTTGCCAGCCCCCCCCCCCGGGCCAGGCACCCCCCCCCCCCCGCCCACTCCGGCCCTGGTAAGTCTCAACCTAAAGTGGGGCCACAGCCCCTCAGCCATTCAGGCAGTTGGTCAGTCCCCTTCTCGGCCTCCCTGGGAAGAGATGGAAAAAGAGGAAGCAGATATCTACCCACAGAGAGCTCAGAGGTTGTCAAGGAGACCACAGGGAGTACAGCCTGGTAGGGCAGAGGCTCTGAGGTCGCCAAACCTGAAACTGAGTCCTGGTTCTGCCCTGAACTGACTGCGTCATGACCTTGGACAAGTGACTTAGCTAGTCCGGACCTCTGTTTCCTTACCTGCAAAATGGCAGTAAGAGCCCTGACCTCAGAGGAGTTGCTCTGAAGAGATTAGAAGAGATAGTGCATGTGAAGCCCGGTGCCTGGCACACAGCAGGAGCTCCATAAATGTTATCTGTTATGATATGATATGTGCAGGAAACTCACGTTGTTAGAATAGCCCACTGAGTGGCAGGGGCTAGGCTCTGATCCATCCCCGAGTGCTGCTGGGATCCAGGGGCAGGGAGGGGGGGAAGGAGGTAAGATTCAGCTGGACACAAAAGACAGGGAGAGACCTAGGCAGCCAGAAAGCACAGGAAGGAAAGGTCATTGCCACTATAGGGAATGTTAAACCTCGCCTTAGCTGGACCTTCTGGCCAATCCTTTTCAAACCCCACTGTGCCCTGGAGATGCTCCCCGACCTCCTCCTCTCTGCCCATGACAGGAGAAGCTCATAGGAGACACCTACTCCCCGGTGATGGTGACGAAGGCAATGAAAAACAGCAAGGAGCAGGCCCTCCTCAGGGCCAGCCATGTAAGTCACAGGCAGGCAGCCTAGCCTGTTGGGAACTCCTGGTCTGATGAGTTAGAAAGGAGACCCTGCCAAGGAACCCAAAGAAGCTCCATGAAACAGAGAAGTGGACACCAGACTCCTGAGCACCCACCTGGGCTTCACCCCCTTATTCCCAGCCTGGTACCGTGGTCTAGAGCCTGGGCCCCGAAGCTAGAGTGTCTGAATTCAAATTCCAGCTCCTCTACCCACCTCCCAGCTGGGTGGCTTTGGGCAAGTTGCTTCACCTCCCTGGGCCTCAGTTACTTCATCTGCGAAATGAGTATTGTAACAGGAATCTACAGCATAGGGTTGTGGTGAGGATTAAATTGATAAATAAACATATATGTTATATAATATATAATATCTATAAAATATAGAAGTAACATTAATATTTTAATACATATAATAGCTATATACATATAAATAGAAATATGTACTTATATAAGTATATAATGAGTTTATAAATATATAATTATATACATATAAACAGAATTATATACTTACATAAGTATAATTATATTGAATTTTATATATATATATATATATATTGCTTTGATCACTGCCTGGCACATTCCAAGTGTTAAGTAAGTTGTTTGCTGTCCTGATTTTCACACCCTGGCAAGAGGATGGCTTGCTCTTTTGGATATTCCTGTTGAAACGAGAAGAAATCGCCTCACTTTACAAAACTTTTTCTTATAGAAAAGTTTAAACATATACGAAAGTAGAGAAGCCAGCCTAATGATCGCCCGCCCCCTCACTCGGCTTCACCGCTTTGCGGCTTGCGGCCGGTTTGCCCACGTAAGGCCACATTCCTTGCCTACAAGCCCAGCCTCTGTCGCTGGATGGTTTTAAAGCAAATCCCAGGTATCAGACAGTTTCTTCTGTCGACACTTTAGCATCTCTAAAAGATAGCACTTCAGTAAGTATCTCTGAAAGCTAAGAACTCTTTTCAAAACCTAACCACACTATGATCATATATAAACTTGCCCGAGAACCCCTTAACATCATCCAACAGTCAGCACACCCTCAAGTGTGTGGAGCTCAGCTCCTGGGGCAGCCAGCTGATCCTCCTGATCCCGGAGCCCGGGCTGCGAGCACTCTGAGCACTCGTCAGCCCGCCCCTCTGCTCTGCTTGCCCGCTCCAGGTACGGGACGCCGTGGCTGTGATCCGCTACTTGGTCTGGCTGGAGAAGAACGTCCCCAAGGGCACGGTGGATGAGTTCTCAGGGGCAGAGCTGCTGGACCAGTTCCGCGGGTGAAGAACCACCTCCTTGTATTGCGGGGCGGGGCGGGGGGGAGCTCTCTGGAACAAGGAGTAACAGGTCCTTGGGTAGTCAGGGAGCTGGGCAGGGCGTGTTCCGCGCGACAGTCCCCAGCCCCCTGCTGAAAGCGGGACAACTAGAAGGGCCACGACTCATCAGTGCCCCCTAGTGTCTGCTTCAGGCACAGACCCTCTCTCCCCGGGGTCCCGGGGGGGGGGGGGGGGGTTACGCGGAGGCTGGGTCAGGCCGGGTGGGGCTCCTGGACCACTTGAAAATATCAAGTTGCGGAGCGACGTTCCCAGAGGGCACGCTTGACCCAGGCCATAAGCATAGTGTAGGTTTGAGGCACAGGATGCTGCTCTGGGGCTGGGGAAGCTTTCAGACACGAGGAGCTAGGTTTCTTTACTCTGGCTTTACCACGAACTTGCTGTGGGACAATGGGCCTTGGCTTCCCCATCTGAGAAATGGAGGTGGAGGGAGATAATTGGTGTCTACAGTCCCTCCTTCTCTGACCTTGAATGCTCCGTCACCGACAGACTGGAGCCTGGGAAGATGGCACCGGGAGGTGGGGCTGGGAGCGCCAAATGGAGTCTGGCTGAGGTAGAGGCAGCCATGACCTTCATTTGCCCTGGTTCGATATCCTGGGCCCAGCCTAGCTTCTGTGCCCGTCTGTTGACCATTCCTGCCTTGTACTTTCTAGAGAGGAAGCATTCTCCTCGGGACCTAGTTTCGAAACCATCTCTGCTAGTGGCCTGAACGCTGCCTTGGCCCACTACAGGTACTTCAGGAGAAGGAATTTTCTAGGGCCCTGTGGGGCGGGATCCTGGGGTATGTGCAGGGGGGTAGGGGGATGTGAAGGAGGGAATGCTTGGGGACCCAAGTCCACATTTAAGGTCTGAGGCCTTCAGTACTGTGGGGGCTACTGGTGGGCAGTGGAGCTCAGTCAGGGATCAGGAGTCTTCTTGGAATGAAAAGGCCCAAGCAGTTTTCTACCACAAAAGGCTGAGAAGGGGAGCACACAGGGCTGAGGGATCTGGAAGGGAGGCAGGGCTGCTGTTGGTTTTCCTTGGCTTCCTGTGAGTTATTTATATTAGCTAATTCTTAAAGCTCTCGAATACACAGGGAAAAAGGCCTGTTTACTTAGCCTGAGCCAACAGAGGTGGGCCCAGAGGTGGGCCCAGAGGTGGGCTAACCAGATGTTTGGGTCCATAGAAAACAAACACCTGCAGGCCTGCCTGATGGAATTTGGGGACCCAAGCTGACCAGAATGCCTCAGCCTGGCACGGGCATAGCAGGAGGAGATCAGATGCCCTCCATGGGCCAGCCTGGCCTATCCCAGAATTCCCTCCCCTAGAGTCTCCCAAGCCTGCAGCTGCCTTGGCCCAGCCCCTTCTGCCTCCTAGAGAGTAGCAGGGGAGGAACTCCTTGGCCCTACCAACTCTTGTTCTCCAGCCCCACCCTCGAGGACCCCCCCCTCCCCTTCCTGTGTCTTGGCTTCTCAGGGCCCTCTGCTCTCAGGGGCCACAGAAAGTTAGAGAGAGAGCACTGGACTGAGCATCTGGGTCGAGGCCCAGCTCCTTCCCAGCTTTACCACACAGCCTCCTACAAGCCCCTGAGCCTCTGCAGGCCTGCGTCTCCGTATGTAGGGGGAGATGGCAGCCCTGGATGCTCTCTGAGGCTCTCTAGACTCCCGCATTCTGGGCTCCTTCCTTTCTCCCCTTCCTGGGAGCCTTGCTCGGTGAGGTACAAGACCAACAGTTGTGCACTGAGTACATTTGCAGCATCAACCGAGTACTCCCCTAGGACCCTTGGGGAATTAAGGGATGAGGGGTTCCCCTGCTTCCACTCAGGGCACCCCACCCTGCACAGTGCAGGCTTAGGCTGCCCCCTTCTCAGTGGCTCTCCCCTTCCTTAGTCCGACCAAGGAGCAGCACCGGAAGCTGTCTTCAGATGAGATGTACCTGCTGGATTCTGGAGGGCAATACTGGTATGTATTCCCCACCCTGCCCTGGCCGACTACCTCAGCTCAGACATCCGGGGCTTCCCAAGATTCGGCCGCAGCTCCCCCTTCCTGGGTGTGAATCCTCTGTCTGAGAACGGAGAGCCCTGGTGGAATGAGCCTGAGCATCACTCCCATTTGCACACCCGGGGACCCCTGCGCGGTGGGAAACACACAGAAGCCAAAACGGTGGGGCTGCCCATGCAGCAGCTCTGTGTGAATCAGGAAACACCTCTCCTTGCTCAAGTAAAATGTTCTTGGAGCCCGCATATCATGACACAGTCCAAGTGGCCATGCTTAGCAGCCCTGCCTGGCCCCACAGGCACCACACGCACATTCTCACCTACTCACGTGCACCCCAGACATGGTCCCCACACCACCAGCAGCAGGCATTCTCCCTGCACCGCACAGACCAGGTGACCACGTTGGCTTGGGGTGGGGGAGGGCAAGATCAGGCCTCTGAGAGCAGCAAGCAGTCTCAGGGGATGCCTGGAGCCCAGCCAGAAGAGGGCACACCTAGCCGCACGGACGTGCGTCTGTGAGTAGATAGGCCTGAGTATGTGCATGACCATGTCGGGTTATGTAGGAGGGCCCTCTCCCCCTGCTCCAAGACCCCACAATCTATGTGTCCACCTGTGTGCTCTCATTGGCATTCCTATATAACCACGAAGTACCTGTGCTACCCTTGTACAGTGCACAATCTGAACACCTAGACAGGACAGCCATGCAGAATAGGCTAACCCCAACTTTTCCAAATGTGTGACCAACCATTCACACAGAAGTTGAGACGAGATGAGCCAGTAGATTTTCTTTTTCCCCTTCTCATCTAGGAAGCAAGTGGACTGTGGAAAGCTTGGGTGGGACTGGTGGGGGGAGGAAGGGGTGTGCTGAACTGATGGAGGAGCAAGGAGTCGTTTCAAACCGGCTCCCCTTCTCTATCCCGTGGAAATGGTAAATGTGCTAATGACAACGGCTCTTCACTTGTTCCAAGCGCAGCTCTGGGGGCTAACGCGAGAGCTTAGCCTAGCAGCCTTTGCTCATCCCCAGTTTGGCATTGTGTGTACTGTGTACTTGAGATGGCCAATGTGCAAAGAGGAAGTGGATTTGTGGGGCGTTGCTGGATTGGGGCACGCTCTGAGCAGGGTGAGGCCGGGGAAATGGTCACCTCACTTCCTCTTCTGTCCTTCTTGAAGAAGTCTGCCACGCCCTGTGACCTGTTCCCAGGGAGGAATCCCCAGGGCCCTGGGACCATTTCTCCCCTCCCCCTCCCCGGTGGTGGCCACAGGGGCCATCTGGGGGCACAGCTGCCGCTGGTGGTTGGGAGTCAGACTTTTTGGCTTCTGGCTTCAGTTCCCTAGGACTCTGAGCAAGTTCTTGGGTCAGATCCATGTTTACAAGGAGAGGACTGTGGAGAGAGTCATTGTTTGCTCCAGGCCTGGCTTCACTGAGGCTCAGAAAGGGAGATGGCTCATGGCCTCAATTGCCTCATCTGGGAAATGAGGATAATGTGGCCTCTTCTGCTGCCCTTCCCAGGGAGCTGCAAAAGTGTTCTATGTGAATGTGTAAGAGTGTGATGATCTCTCTGAACCTCAGTTTCTCCACTGGTAAAAATGGGACGTTCCCCTCCCTCCTGCCTCCCTGAAAGCCTGGAAGAAACTTTGCTTTGAAAGCCAGGCTGACCCAAGAAACTCAGATTTATAAAACTGCCAAAATAAGTGGTATGGGGGTGGAGTATGCATGTGGGGGATCAGGATTGTCAGACAATATAGCGATTTTGAACTTAATAGCTTTGCAGAGTCCCTTTATGCACAGATGCTGAAGATGGGAACTTGATGATAGCATCTGTGTTCTTCCTTTACCCCTAACCCACCCACCCCCACCCCCCCCCTACCACTCGAACCCCAGTGGAAAGCACACGGGAAGCACACAGCCACAATCCCAACCCCCAAGTATTCAGCAGAGCTGTATATGTTGATTTTCCTTGCCCACAGGGATGGAACCACAGACATCACCAGAACAGTCCACTGGGGTACCCCCTCTGCCTTCCAAAAGGTAAGCATTGGACCCAGAATTCCCCTACCCACCTTTACCCAAGGGACATCCAAGCAATCACTCCAGCAAGAGCCTTTCATTTTACAGAGGCTAAAACTGAGGCCCAGAGAGGTTAAGTAGTTTGCCCAGGGTCACACAGCAAGTTAGAACCAGAAAACCCAATGCTCCTGGCTACTTCCCCAGAGATATTTCAGGCCTCCAACAGGGCCTCAGCTGAAGCTCTGCATCATCTCATTTCAGTAAATCAGTGAACAAATACTTACTTGCTGCTGTCTGCGTACCTAGCCCCCTGTGTGCAGCAGGAAGGAGGGAAACAGGCATTCCGGGCAGAGAGAAACAGCACAGGCAGGCTCAGATGTGGAGGTGGAAAGGTGCTGGAGGTTTTCAGAAAGCAGCGAGGGCTGGTCCACCTGGCGCAGAGGCTGGGACATCCTCTGTGTGCACCGGCGGCTTCTGGGTGGGTGAGGAGCAGGGCGCCGCCTTCGTGCATTCAGCAAGCAGACTGTGGCTCGGACGTGGTGCCGAAAAGAGAGAAAAAACAAAAGCTGGCTAGGCCTCGAGGAGCTCACAATTTAGTGGGTTGAGTCCCCAGGCTGTCCTGCCCAAGATGACAAGCGTGTGTGTGTGTGTGTGTGTGTGTGTGTGTGTGTGATGAAAGGGACTGACCACATTGCCACAAGGAGTGAAGAGGTCGCTGTCAACCCACCTCCCTCCCTTTATCCACAAGGTGAACCAGCCCAAGCAAGCAAGGCTGACCTGCAAGATTATGAGGCCCCAACCCAAACATAAGGCCTTAAGAAAACTGAAGGATGATCATAACAGTAATAAGGGCACTGACCTCTATTTGAACATTTACTCTGTTTGAAGCACCTTATGTGCGTGAGTCTACCTACTTCTCCCAACAGCCTTATGAGCTGGTACTGTGAGCATTCCATTACAAATGAGGAAACTGAGGCACAGAGCGGTTAAAGTTGCCTGCCCAAGGTCTCAGAGTTTGTGAGTGGCCAAGTCAGGATTCTAGCTCAGGGAGTTTGCCTCCCAACTCCCTACTGTCAAGCCTCAGCCCACCACCATATATAAGCATCCCTTGTGGACCAGCCAAAGAGAACCACATGGAACAAGCTCCAGCTTTCAACAGGTACCCCTCAGCTGCCTCTGACCATTTTCCAGAACCTGGATGACTACACATGACCATGCACCTTCCCCCCAGCACAGCCCCCCTGTACGCCTGGGAGCTGGAAACTCCCAAGATCCTCCTCTTACGCAACACGTTACCTCTCCCTCTTCCCATCAGGAGGCATATACCCGCGTGTTGATAGGAAATATCGATCTATCCAGACTCATCTTTCCTGCTAATACATCAGGTGGGTTTTAGAAACCAGGCTGGACCCAGAGACTCAGGCCCTGATTTCACTGGACCCAGACAGCCACCCTGGGAGGCTAGTGGGGCAGGGATTGTATCATCATCCCATCCATCATATAGATGAGAAAAAGCAGCCCAGGGAGTGAAAGCAACTTGTCCAAGGTCACACAGAGGGGTCACTGGGAGAGCCAAGCCTTGAACCCAGGCCGCCTGCCTCTTAATCTAATACTATAGCTCATTGGGGAGGGGGAGGTCACTGTGGGTTATAGCAGTCATGGGAGGATTTCTGGGGGAAGCAGATATCTTGATAGATGGGGAGAAACTACAGTAGGGCCATCAGTGCGGGTAATGTAGGTACGACATAGGATGTGCTGGAAAAAGCGCATGCTGACCTGCCTCTCAGGAGCGACTCTCCACACGTACCATCTTGGTAGTTGGCGCAGGGATAAGAGAGCAGGAAGGGGCAAAGCAGACAGTCTGGGGTCCAGCCGACTGATTAGGCCCATCTCTCTTCCAGGGCGAATGATGGAGATCTTTGCCCGCAGAGCCTTGTGGGATGTTGGGCTCAATTATGGTCATGGGACAGGCCATGGCATTGGCAACTTCCTGTGTGTGCACGAGTGTAGGTGTCTCTTCTACACTTCCCTGGGGTCCCCCCTCTTATGAAGGAGGTAGAGCATTTCACAGGTATGGAAATGACTAAGACCCGCAGAGATGCAGTGACCCACCCAGGGTTACCCAGCTGGTGGGAGGTGATGCTCCACAAGGTAAGTGAGAAATGGTAGCAATTGGCCCTTCCTGCTGCCTGCTTGGCATCGGGGAGGGCCTCAGAGAGGAGTGGCAGGTCAAGGCCTAGCGGTTGGCTGGCATAGACATCAGAGTAATAAAAAGCAGAGCCAATCTGGTCTCCATACCAGCCCCAGGTAGACAATGATGTGGTGGACAAGTGCTGCTAGAGATGCCCCAGGGTTCCCCCAGTTACCTGCCCCTCCCCAGAGCCTGCTAGTTTCCAAGCTGGTGAGTACGGGAGAGTTGACACCATGCCTACATCTCCTTTTCCAGGGCCAGTTGGATTCCAGTCTGGCAACATCCCCATGGCCAAGGGCATGTTCACTTCCATCGGTATGGCTCTTGGACTCTTCTACCCCCCTCCCCACCCTAAGACCAGCCTGGGACTGCAGTCTAGGGAGCATGCCAGGCACAGGCCCCCTGGGCTCCAGCACTCCCAGCCCCAAATGCATTGTCCCACCCTAATCCTAAAACCCTTCAGCTCAAACCTTCATTTTGCCCTTGGGAGTTGGTTCCTGGCTGTACATCCAAATTCTGGAGTCTCCAGTCAAACGCTGGGGTAACAGGATAGTAGTACACCAGGAGATGGGAGTGCCTCCAGGATCCAAGTGAGCCTTTATGTCTTCCCTGCTGGGCCACAAGGCCTGGCCTCCCCCATGGTCAGTGGTGGGTCTGCCTGAGCCTGGGGCAGCCAGGCAGCTGGGCCTCCAGCCACTCCTCGATTGGTACAGGAAACATGGCCTTGGGTCCTCCTCCTCCTTAATACCACCAGCATCTCTGTGTCTCCTAGAACCTGGTTACTATCAGGATGGAGAATTCGGGATACGTCTTGAAGATGTGGCCCTTGTGGTAGAAGCAAAGACCAAGGTAAAGTGCTGCTGGGACAGGCGAGAACTGTAGACAGCATGACAGTGACTTTGGGCTGTATGGGGTATAAGGAAGGTCCAAGGAGGGCGCCTGGGTGGCTCAGTCATTGGGCGTCTGCCTTCGGCTCAGGTCATGATCCCGGGGTCCTAGGATCGAGCCCCGTGTTGGGCTCCTTGCTCGGTGGGAAGCCTGCTTCTCCCTCTCCCACTCTCCCTGCTTGTGTTCCTTCTCTCACTGTGTCTCTCTCTGTCAAATAAATAAATAAAATCTTTAAAAAAAATAAAAATTAAAAAAAAGGAAGGTCCAAGGAGAAGGGCGTTTAATAGGCAGACATGAATTGATTTGGAATTTTCCTCTGCTCCAGAAAAATTCCATAACTCAGAGTTTCTCGAGCCTGTTTGCACATTAGAGTATCAGCATCATCAGAAGAGCTTTTTGGTTTTAATGCCAATGCCCAGGTCCCACTCTAGACCAAATGAATCAGTATCCCTGCTCTAAATCACTGGTCTTCGATGCCCATAATAATCACCAGGGGAGCTTACTAGATACGAAGATTCCCTATAATAGCAACCAACAGGATAAAATACCTACCTAAAAACTTAAAAAGACTTATATGGAGAAAATCTCTACTGAGGGACATAAAAAAGATTTAAGTAAATGGTGCTCTCTGCAAAGAAGCCTCAATATTATGGAGATGTCATTTCTCTGGAAATTTATCTATAAATTCAAGACAACCTCAATTTCAGTGCTAACTGGTTGCTTTTGTAACTTCACAAAATGATAGTAAAGTTTGTAGAAATAAACAGGCAAAAATAGCTAGGTAGCTAGGAAAATTCTGGAAAAGAAGAGCAATAAGGGAAACTAGCCTTTTCAGATATTAGCACATACGATGAAGCTACTGTAATGAAACAGTATGGCACCAGAAATGGGAGAGATAGATGTAACAGTGGAATAGAACAGCTAATCCAGAAATATACCCTCTAATTTATTATTTTCTTGGGGGGGTGGGGCAGAGGGGGAGAGAGAGAGAGAATCTTAAGCAGGCTCCATGCTGTGGGTGGAACCTGACATGGGGCTCAATCTCACAACCCTGAGATCATGACCTGAGCCCAAATCAAGAGTCCAATGCTTAACCGACTGAGCCACCCAGGTGCCCCTCTAATTTCTATAAACAAAATGGGAATTTAATTTATAATAAAGCTGGTATTTCAAAAGAGTAAAGATAAGAGAGATTTAATAAATGGGGGGCAAATGGCTAATCATTTGGGGGGCTATTAAAGTGAAGAACCTTACTGTTACTTCAAAGTAAAATTCTGAATGGATCAAGATTTAAAGGTAAAACCATAAAAGATTTGGAAGAAAATCTATATAAATTCATTTATAATCCCAGGATGGAAATGGGCCTTTCTATGCAAGACCCAGAAGCCGTGAAGAAAAAGATTGATAAATTAAATGTAAAACTGTCTATATGGAGGGATGCCTGGGTGGCTCAGTCAGTTAAGTGTCTGCCTTCAGCTCAGGTCATGGTCCCAGGGTCCTGGGATCAAGCCCAGCCTCAGGCTCCCTGCTCAGCGGGGAGTCTGTTTCTCCCCTGCCCCTCCCCCTGCTCATGCTCTTGTGCTCTCTCTCTCTCTCTCTCTCTCTCTCTCTCTCTCTCGCTCTCTCTCTTTCAAACAAGTAAAATCTTAAAAAAAAAACCTGTCTATATGGAAACAATACCATAAACAAAGTCAAAAGATGTATGACAAATAGAGCACATACACTAGGGAAAGCACGCATTTCCTTCTTTTGCCCCATGAGCTTTTTACAAATCAATATGACAAAAATAGGGAAAACAGAAAAAAACAGGCAAAGGACATGAAGAGGCAACTCTCTAAGATCAACACAAATGATCCAGAAGCATGCAAAGATGCTCAACTTTATTCTTAAAGAAACACAAATCAAAACAATAGATTACTGTGTTTCGCCGATCTGATTGGCAAACAATGAGAGATTTTAATGATACCCAGTACTGGTGAAGCTATGAGGAAATGGGCCCTCTCACACACCGTTGGAGGAAGCACAAATTGATACGATCTTTCTAGAGGGCAGTTTGACAATAGCTATCAAAATATCTATTTAAAATGCCTTGGAGCGCCTGGGTGGCTCAGTTGGTTAAGCATCTGCCTTCCGCTCAGGTCATGATCCTGGAGTCTGGGGATCGAGCCACAAGCCCCACATCTGGGCTCCCTGCTCAGTGGGGAGTCTGCTTCTCCTTCTCCCTCTGCCCCTCCCCTTGCTCCTTCTCTCTCTCTCTCACTCACACACTCTCTCAAATAAATAAAATCTTTATAAAATAAAATAAAAATAACATAAAATAAAATGCCTATACCTTTTGTCTCAGCAATCCCTCTGCCAGATATGTGCCTTCTGGATCTAGTCCCAAAAGGTCACCAAGATGTTTTATACATTGATGTGTATTGTAACATCAATAGTCATAGTAAAAAAAGAAGTGGGGAAACAGCCTACGTATCCCACTGATTAAATAAATCATCATGCATACTATGGACCATTACACAGCCCTTAAAAAAGAGTGAGGTAGATATCCTTGTGCTAATATGCAGCGCTCTCCTACATTTACTATTAACAGGGTGGAGAGGGGTGCAGAAAAGCATGTGGTAGGATCCATTTTGTGTGGATTAGAATAATTAATTAGTGGATTAATTACTGTATATGTCTTAAATGTTTTCAGGAAGGAACCTGGGCAGGGAGGAGACTTTCCACTTTTATTGTGTATCTTTTTGTAGTTTGAATTTTCTAAGCACACCCATGCAAGGGATCCCTGGGAAACAGGAACTATGGACTATTTTGTCTTCTTTATACTTATTTCTATGGGTAGGTCAATCGAGAGATACAAAGAGATTTGATAGAGACATATAAAGATATAGATTAGATAGATGATAGATAGATAGATATAAAAACCTAATAACTTATCTTAAAAATATTAAAATGTGTGTTCCCAGCCCTGTGCTAAAAGTTCTCACTCCAGTGGTCTGGAGGGTGGCCCCGGGAATCTACATATTTAACAAGGCCCCCGTGGTGCTGTAGATGCACACACTTTGAGAAATACAGACCTAATAAGCACCAAAGGTGAGGTGCTGAGTGGCAGACCGGGGTGTGGGGGTGGACCAGGGGACTGTAGGACATTCAGCCTACCTTGAGTCTCGGCCTTGACAAGGGCCAGTTCCCTGTGCCCGTGGCTTCTGAGTGGAGCACTGCCTCCCTCCCTTCAGCCAGGCCCCTTCTCCTCACTCATTCTCCTGCTTTCCCGCCTTTCCTGTGGCATTCCAGTACCCAGGGTCCTACCTGACCTTTGAAGTGGTGTCCTTGGTGCCCTATGACCGGAACCTCATTGATGTCAGCCTGCTGTCTCCAGAGCACGTAAGTGACCCTCAGCACCGTCCATCTTTCGGCCCGTGAACCACTGACTGCCTTCTTCCCAACCCTGGGCCTTTCTCGCCTCTGCTCCCCCTACCCCAAGACCCTCTGCCACTTCCGCTCCCCCGGGACGGTCCACGCTGTTGGCTTGTAGGCACACACCAAGGCATCCCTCCCTGACCTCACCAGAGACTGCAAAGCTTCTAGAACTCTCTGGTCAGACCAACCTGCCCAACCCCAGGTAGTGAACTCCTGGGGAGTCTGAGTCTCTGGACTCTGCCACCTCAAGTCCTAATATAAGCCTCAGTCCCTTCTTCTGTAAAATGGGGATAATGATGCTTGCCCAACTTTCATTCCGCTCCCGTCCCCCACGCACCCCACGAAAGTGTCGCTGTGACACTAAACGGCCACTGAGGTGAGCTGCCTCTGAAAAGCCCCCAGGGCATATGCCTGTGGCCTGATGATGGCCGGGGAGCTGTGGGTATCTGTGGGGTACCTGTGGGCCCCTGTGCCAGGGTGGGCAGCCAGAGTACCATCACCGGGGACTGGCTGGCACCAAGACCTCACCTTGCGGCAGTTTGGCCGGGGGAGGCCCTCAACCCCTCCTTCCCTTGGCAGCTCCAGCACCTGAACCACTATCACCAGACCATCCGAGAGAAGGTGGGCCCGGAGCTGTCGCAGCGCCAGCTGCTGGAGGAGTTCAAGTGGCTGTGGGAGCACACCGAGCCTCTGCCCGCAAGGGCGCCGCACACGGCCTCCTTGGCCTCTCTGTTGGCAGTCTCCTCTCTTACCGTCCTCGGCTGGAGTGTCTAGACGCTCAGACTCCCCGGCCAACCCTTGCGCTCAGCTCCCCTCATCCTGCACCATCTGCACCCCCAGAGCCCCTGCCAGCCCATTGCCCAGAGACCATTGCCCTCACCTTCCTTCTCCAGGACTAAGCCCCAGGGACACAGGGCTTCTTGGCCCCAGGCTGGCCCCCTCTGGGCCTGTACACCGCACCCTGGGCTCGCAACCTCTAACCAGCTAGTCCCTTTCCTCCTGTGAGCCCAGTAGGCCCAACCTGTTAGCTGGCAGAGCCTCCTACCACTGCCCCCCCCCCCCCGACCGATATGAGGCGGTACCCTACCCCCGGGAGCGCCATGCCCCCTCCCCCCCCTGCCCGGGAGAGCCCCACCCTATCGCCACCTGCTGGATGTAGTCAGAGCTCTTCCCATCCCCTCGGGCTCCTGACTTGGTCTTTCCACACCCTCGAAGCCGCTTCTGACCACCGCAACCTGCCCCTGGCCCTACAATGCCCTCCTGGCTGCAACCCACAGGCTGAAGGAACAAGGGCTGCCTCTAGGTTCCCTGCTGAGCCTGTGGAGGGAGAGGAAGGGAAGGTGGCCGAGGCTTCTGCAACCAGGAGGGCCAGCCAGAAAGGGGCACGTACGCCAGCCTGCCCGCCATGTGAGCTCATCACCTCTAAACCCTGGGTGGGTTCCAAACCAATGGACAGGACAGGGAGTTCAACCATAGGAATCTGGCCGTGGAGGAAGAGGGAATGTGGGGAGCATTCTGGAATATGACCCTACCCAAAGTTGGGAACAACCTTAGCAGCAGTGTCCAATCACCATCCCAGACTTCCCAGCGCGTGGGTAGCCCTTTTAACTCTCCAAAATGCAGCTACAGTGACAATGCTGTCAAATCCTCCAGCATCTTCAGATGGGCTTGAACCTATGTGGGCTGGTTTAACTTGTGTGACTCTGCTTTCCCCATTTTACAGATAGGAAAACTGAGCTCCAGACCGGGGGTACCTCTCCAAGAACACACAGTGTTCGGTTGGGACATGGCAGGGCCAGAATGGGCCGGCAGTCCAGCTATTTTGCCCTTTGGCCCCATGTGAAATCCCTTAGGGTACTTCCCAGCCCCTTCCAAGTTCACTGAGCCCGCTGTTGGGGGCAGGGCGGAGGGGAGGGAGGGAGCTTTCTTTGGTCAGCCCTGCCGTTAGCCACCTGGGCTCACATCCTGCTAGATGCTTAAAACAGCATGGCAACGAAGCCTGCCTCTGGGTTTTGCATTGTGTCTTCTTTGTTGCCGGGGACTGCTGTTACCTGTGGCTTTTGTGGTGGGGGAGGGAGGGGTGGGGGTGAGATGGGGGGAGGGATGTGAGGCTCCCAGAAGCTCGGTTGGGGAGCACATGTGCTTGAGAATGGGCATGTGAGCATGCGTGTGTGTACGTGTGTGAACATTCATGGATTCACGTGCATGCCACGCCCAGCCAACCAGCACCCGTGCTGAAGGTCACAGCCTTCTGGAGAGCATGGAGGGGAGCCCCATGCCGTGGGACTTGTCGAATGTAGTCCAGGAAAGTTGGAAGCAGCACCTGTGCTCTGCTGAGCAGGGTCAGGGAGAGGAGGGAACTAAGCCTCTGAGGCAGAGTGCTGGGGAGAGGCGCCAGGCAGAGTCCCACACCCCCCCCCCCCGCGTGGGACCACCAGGCCTGGTTGGCTGAGTGAGGGTGACCTGTGACAGTTATCACCACTGAGGCTTGTATCCAAAGGCCCCTGCTCTGAGCCATCCTCACTGCGAGCCTATGGCACCCAACAATGGGCTTCAACTTGCTGATTCATTTACTCTTTCACCTGGTCACCCCACAAAGACAGCTACTAATAATAAAATTAAAGTTATCACCATCATCATCATCATCATCATCACCACCACTACCATTCACTGAGTGTTTCATATATTTGAGGCACTGTGCTTTATATGCACTTTAAAAATATTTTTTATTTTATTGTGATAAGAACGGTAAACATGAGATCTACCCTCTCATATATTGTTAAGTGTACAATACATTATTGCATTTTCCCACTTAATCTCCACAACCTCTGAGAAGGCACTTTTACTGTTCCCGTTTTGCAAGTGAGGAAAATGAGTGAGGCTCATAGAGATTAGCCAACTCGCTCAAGGTCACTCCTCAAGGAAATGATTAAAGTGGGACTCAAACCAGTCCGATGATTCCAGAACCCGCTCTCCCAGAAAAGGGCAGGTGGTACGGCTCTCACATACCTCAGAAAACTGAGGCTCAGCCAGGATCACACAACTGGTTGAGTTGGGACTCAGACCTGACGGTTCTCCACACCATCCTGCTTCCCCAGGGCCTGCCCACCCAGGTCTTTCCCTTTGATCCCTGATGCTTGCGCCAGGCCATAACCTGACCAGGACCTGCTCACAGGCCTCTCAGCCCAGGGCAGCTCACGTGCTCCCCTTTCCTCCTTCAGAGCAAGACCCAGGGCTCTGCCTCATCGCTTCCCTTAACTACCCCTTCCAATCCACCAGCACGGGGTGGGGTTGAGAGCATGGCTGCAGGGGGGATGGGGGGCTGCCACCTCAGGTCCTCCCTCCTTGGGGCCCAGATCATCAGCACACTGAGCAGCCCTCTTGAAGGGTTCCACTCTGCACCAGGCAGGGCAACATTCAAGCATACACAGCAAGGCGAACCCACGCGGGAGCACTTGAGACGTCATTAGGAACTGAAGATAAATAAATGCCCCCTTGGAAAAGCCTCTTTTCCCAGGAGTTCGGATTCTAGGGTTCCAGTTCCAGCTGGGCCAGCTTGTGTCTATAAGGCAAGTCACTTCACCTCTCTGGTCTTCAGTTACCTCTTCTGTAAACTACATATACCACCTTACCCATGAGGTGACAGTGAAAGGCTCCTAAGATCCGGATGTGACAGCACTCTGTGAGCCAGGAAGCCACACAGACAGGAGATGATAATGCTATTATCCACTCAGCACGAGTTCAACTCTTGCCTCACCTTTGGAGGTAGGTAAGGAAAAAACGGGGGATCCAAATTTTATATATACATCATCGAAACTACACAGGCTTTTGACCAAGTATCTAATTTGTGTTTTTCCAGCTGTGCTTCCTAAGAGCCCGAGGTTCCTTAGAAATGCCACAGGGACTGCCACGAAAAGCAGAGCTCCAGCCAAAAGCAGCCTGCATGGGCTTCCCATAAAATTGTATCGGAAGTAGTTGCAAGGCCAACTTCTGGGTGATGGGCCTGTGCAGTCACGGAGAGCCTGGTGCTTAGAAGAGCCCTGTACAGGGGTGCCTGGATGGCTCAGTCGATTAAGTGTCTGCCTTTGGCTCAGGTCATGATCCCGGGGCCCTGGGCTCCCGGCTCAGTGGGGAGTCTGCAGCTCCCTCTGCCTCTGCCCCTACCCCCTACTCGTGCGCGCGCGCTCTCTCTCTCTCATAAATAAATAAAATCTTTAAAAAAATAAGAGCTCCACTGTCACCATCTTGAAATTTTTTAAAATGTTTGAACAAGGGTCCCTGCCTTTTCACTTTGTACCAGGTCCCACAAATCCCATAGCCAGCCTGGACTAGGAGCTCCATGACCAAAACCAAAACCAAAACCAAACCAAACCAAAACAAAACAAAAACTAAGAAAAAACGGGTTTCATGCCTTTGATGTACAGATTGGGGAAATGCCACAGCAGCCCAGAAAAAGGAGAGACTGGTCCAAGGTCACACAGCCCGTTGAGGCCAAAGCAGGGATTAAATGCCCAGCATCCTGATTCAACTGTGTGGGCTCCTCTCTTGCTTTCAGTGTGTTCTTCCGTCACTCCCTACTGCCTGGAAGAAGCAAGCTGAAGCCCAGGGGGACCGGTTGCCGGTCACAGGGCCATGGTAACAGCGGGGATGATGGGCTTGAGCTACATTTTTTTGATGCTTTAAATCCTTTTTGGAATAGGAAAGAGCCTGGGTGAGATCATACATACATACTTACTTACGTATATACAGAAAGAGTCTAAATGGTTCATTTTTAAAACGACAACGAAGCCAGTCCTCTCTCATTTGCCAGCCAGCTGGCTCGGGGGCTTCATGAGCTGGGGCCACGGGAGGGCTGGAGCTGGCTGCCTTCAGCCCCCCAAACCACGTCAGCAGTGCAGTTTACCAACTCACCCCGCACTTCCTCAAAGCAGTGGTTGGGCACTTTTGGTGCCAAAAAATATCTGGAAATATGAAAGAGTCAGTAGCAACTGTTTCCCCCGCGTGCATCCCTGCCCTCCAAGGCTCTCTTAGCTGGAAGTGGGAGGTGCTCCCCGACCACGCCCAGCCTGCCCTTGCCCTCAGGCTGGCCCACCTCCTCACTTCCTTGTTTCTTTGTGAAACAGGAACTGAGCAAGCAGCTCAAGTAGGGTAGGATGGGTGGTTGAGAAAACCCCAGTGGTCCATAGCAAGACCGTGAAGCTGAAAAGTTAATTTCCCTCCCAGCGGGTCCTGAGTAGTTCTAGATTCTCTCGCTTGTCACACCGTCTATGTTCTAGAATAGCTTGGCCTGAGGGACCCTGCCCTTGGCGAGGTGGAGACACACAGCATATGGGACAGAGTCACGTAGCGGAGATTCAAACGGGGTCCAGATGAGATGTAGAAGCAGGTGCCAAGGCAAGAGGAGACACTGTGGGTGGAGCCTGGAGTGAACAGATATAGTCCCCCACCAGGTACCAAGCATTTTGCATGAGCTGTGCACTGGATTGACAGCATTCTGTCTAACATGTCATCTGGGTAACTCTGGTTACTTACACACACACACACACACACACACACACTCTCTCTCTCTCTCTCTCTCTCTCTCCCCAAATGAGGCCCACATTATCACTGTCTCCACAAGAGCTCATTGCTCAAGGTCACTTGCCCAAGGTCACGCAGCCTCTAAGTGATATATGGCGATTTGAATCCAGTTCTACCTGACCCGATTTCTGGAAGGGGTCTCCTGCCCTTCCTCTTCCCTAGACACTTGTCCCCTAGACTGCTCAGCGACCTTTGTCCTTGTAACCTTGGGACACAGCCCTAGGCGGAGGAGCCCGGTGCTCCCAGTCTTCCACAGAAAGGCCCCGCAGTGCCTAGTGAGTGTTTTTATCTGAGCGCCAAAGCCCGGCCTCTTTGCGGTCATTGCCACAGCTGCCTGCAGGTGTTCTTGGTTTTTTTAAACCAAGACCTTATCACTGGTTCAGAGATTCAGAGATGACTTTCCCTCCCATCAGCCCCTGCTGCCAGGGACTCCCCAGTGCTCCTAGAGCTGAGCGTCCTGCGGGTACTGTCCGTGCGCCCGAGG